CAGCGGGCGGGGCGCCGGGGTCCGACGGGGGGGCGGGCGGGGCGCCGGGTCCGAGGGGCCCGAGGGGCGTGTGTGAGGCGCTGTCGTGAGGGGCGTGCTCTCGGCCCGCTCTGAGGTGTGTGCGCGCAGTTCGCGCAGTTCTCGGTTCTAGGGCTCTGTGCGGTGTGGGTCCCAGCTGGGTGCACTTCAGCTCGGCAGTGCAAGTAATGAGAAGCCCATCGCCTGCCGCGGTCTCATAACCGAGTTAGGTCCTTTCTCCTCCTCTTCCTTGTCGTTGATGTTACTTCTGTTTTTATGAAATGCCATGAGCGTGCAGCACAGAAGCAAGAGTGACAGTACTTTTCTCTGAGTTATTCTAAGTGCTGCAGACATCCGAGTGAACTCTGACATCTGTTATTCCGTTTGATCCATGGCTATCATACATAACATTCCAGTTTTCCAAAGGGAGTGGCGTGAAGAAGATAGATTTTGTTTCCAGGCTTGGCTCTACAGCCAGATTTTAGAAAAAAAACATGTTTCTCTCCAAAATTATAGAAGTAATTTTGATATCTGAAAAATAAAGGAAAGAATAAACAATAAAACAACCGCCACCATAATTCCACAGTGCAGGGATAAACTGTTAATTTCTTGGCATGCCCCCTTCCTGTTTTTTTCCTGTGTGCTAGGGTACATATATATCCTTGGCATGGTTGTCTATATAATGGCATGACCTTGCCATGGTCATGCTGTCTATATAATTTTATTTAATGTTATATTGACAGTATTTTCTTATCCGCATCATTTAAAATACCTTTAGCAGCCAAACGTCTTCCCCATTCCAGCTCTCTCCCTCCTGGAAAGCGGATCATAACTCATCAGATGAGAAGACAAATTTATTTATTTATTTTAAATTTGTTTTTTAATTGAAACATAATTGATTATACATCTTTATCAGGTATTGAGTCGACTAGCAGTATTTGTGTACAATATGTGATGAGCGAATCAGTATTATTAACATGTTCATTATTACAAATCGTAATTATTTCCTTGTGTCCAAGAAGGAAAATTTGAAAGTCACCTGGTCTGCGCCACTGATTTTAATGTGGACACCTGTAGACACAGATGAACACAGAAGAGAGACCTGAAGAGACCTTCTGAACTCATTGCCAGACAGTTGGTAGGAGCAGTGAAGGGATGTGGACACCTCACAACCAGAGCAGGATTATGCTCATAGTCTGATGTTCAGTCTGCATGTGTTCCTAGTGTCCTATATGTATTCATGGCCACTAACCAGGCCTGGTGGCTGCAGGTAAAACCAGATTGTGGTCCCAATATTACTGGTCTTCCCATTCCCAACTTGTAGGTTTTGTTTTGGGAGTTTTAATTATTTAAGGAGCATTTTAATGATCTGTTATCCTATGCAATTACATGTTTATTCCTTACCACAGCATTCAGTCTGGGGTTGCTCATAGAACTTGTGGAAGGATGGAGAGGTTTATCACCTCCCAGAAGCCCTGGGTTCGCTGAGATAGCGGTGCAGAGTTAAAACCATGGGAGGAACAAGCCATTGGTAAATTGCACTCATCGATGACTATATCAGCTAGCTCAGCTCATTAGGAGCAGGGACTCTGGGCCAGTAGGGACCGAGGGCTCCCAGAGAGGATGTTGAGGTGCAGAGATGTGGAGAAGTCCCAGGTGACCAGTGTGTGATGGGGCCAGATTAGACCAGAGAATTGTGGTCCTCTCTATTGTCACAGTGGGATTCTCCTTATCTGTAACAAGAGGACTGAATGGATAACTTTGCAAACATCCTGTAGTTAAGACTTTCTGGAATAATGGTGCTAATTCACTGTGTGGCTCCTAACTGCTCAATCCCATCACCACCCTGAGGACTGGCCTTAGGAGCTCCACCTGGTCCTGGCATATCAGCTCCCTTTCTCTTCCTGCTTTTCTCTCTCTGTTTTGCCATACTTTTACTAGGGATTAATAGTGTACACCCTTAACAATAGGCCATGTTAGTTTTTGACCTTACTGTGTTTGCCTTGCTTCCCCATTAAGCTCTTCCATGGATAATAAGGGTCTTGCTCACTCATCACTGCTTCCCCAGGGCATATCTTAATTGCTTGGTGTATGCAATCGGCTCAGGGTACTGGCCTTTCTTATTTATAATTCCTGTTTTCTTCTGTTCTCTCACAGTCCCATCAGCACCAGCTATGAGCTGGGCTGCAGCCCGTACTTTGGCACCCTGTAAGGGCTGCCCACGAAGGAGAGAGAAAGGGAACTATACTGGGTTGGACAGTGTCCCCCCAAAATTCATATCCACCTGGAACCTGTGAATGTCAACCTTATTTGAAAACAGTCTTTGCAGATATAATAAATTAAAACAAGGTTATACTAGATTAGGGTGGGTCCTAATCCAGTGACTGTTGTCCTTCTAAGACAGCCATGTGAAGATACACAGGGAGAAGGAGGTCATGTGAAGACAGAGACAGATTAGAGTGATGCATCTACAAGCCAAGGAATGTTGGCAACCACCAGAACCTGGAAGAAACAAGGAAGATTCTTCCCTAGAGTGCCTGGAGGGAGTGTGGCCCTGCTGACACCTAAATGTTAGACTTCTGGCCTCCAGAACTGTGAGACAATAAATCTCTGTTGTTTAAGCCACGTTTTGTGGTTCTTTGTTACAGCAGCCCTAGCAAACTAATACAGGGATGAAGCCAAGAGGCTATGCCTCTTATTTTTAAAGCTGATCCACAAGACTATTAATAGAGTTCTTCACACTTTTGTGTCCTGAGCACAAAGCCGTGCTTTAGCACAGGTCTTGCTGTCTGATCATAGTGGTCAAGGTGCTGTTGTTTCCTAAGAACTGTCACTAACTGGACAGGAACATAGCTGCATGAACCTGCACAAACCTCTTCAACTTCAGAGCCAGGAACAAGTGCTGAAAGCTCAAGGGCTTGAGGGGTCCTGAGGTCCTCACACTGCCGGGGGAGGATAAGTCAGGCAGCGCTTTGTAGGGCTGCCCTGCCATTGTGAGCAGCCAAATGTGCAGTGCGCTATCTCCCACTGGTTCTACCTCTGTTTCAAATGGCTGTGGCAAGGCCTCATCATTGAGGGGAGAAGCCAGCTCTGAGCTGGCTATATGTTGTTACCTAACAAGTCTCTGTGAGTGAGGTGATTTTTATATGGATTTTTGAAAGCTGATTTTTAAGACCAAAAAAAAAAAGGCTGGCAAGTCCTTCAGATTCATTACCTCCTCCCCTATAGTCAGCCATGTCCGTGGGTTTTCTGCCTCTGTGTTGTATAGCACTTGAGGACCCAGGTCCTGATCTGTCTTTGTATGGCCTACTCTTATTCCTAAACATTTACTGGGCATCCGTGTGGGGACGGACCCAGTGCCAAGGACTGGGGGGTGGAGGTGAGAGCGAGCCATGTCCTTGGGACGCTCTGGGAGCCTGTGGGTGTGCTGTCCTGCTCTTTGTAGACACATTTGTTTCTCTTACTATCTCCATTTGACCAGTGCAGGAGGGAGGTTTAAAAACCAGGTTCTGCCCAAAGTCCTCTAGTCCTGAATAGGGCTTGAGGGAGCTGTAGTAGACGGAGGTTATTGAGGCTGGTCCTCTGTCTCCTCACCCACTCACTCTGGCAGCTGCCTTGACTCTGTGAGCTTTAGTTTGCCATCTGTAGAATCAGAGAAATGATAGAAATTGTCTCATAAAAGGTGTGTAGAGATTGCATGGTTGGTGCGGAGTGAGGGCTTACGAAAGCATTGACTGCTCCTGCTGCCAGTCACTGTGGTTGTTATAGGACTTAGAAGTATGTTAAATCTATGATTCCATGGGAGACTGGCTTCATTGGGATTGTTTACGGAATTCCTGGTTACATCGATATTATATGTATTTGTGTTTATATTGATATCTGTGTTTTATATATTGATATGTATCTGCCCTGAGTAAGTTTTCATATCAGAAAGAGACAAGGATAGAGAAACTTCTCTGTCATGCTGCTGAAAATCACACCTTTTGATCTGAGTAGCTTTAAAGTTTAATGAAAATGTACTCTAGGGTCAGGTCTCTTTATGCACCAACTGTGTTTATTCTTTGAGCCACTGTTGAGAGTAACTAGGGCTCGTTCAGGTGAGTGTGACAAAAGTCACTGCCCAGGAGCACTACCATTCTGCCACCAGTAACAAACACCAAAGCTGTATTGTTGGCTGAGGGAAAAGAAGGCCAGGCAAGGGGTAAGATGTGGCCGTGAAGTATGCTGTGGGGGGGCTGTGGCTGGGGTCTGTGGCACTTTAGAGGAGCAGTCAGGAGGCTCCAAAGTAAGAGCCTCTGTTCACAAAGAACGTGGAACAAAGCCCCTAACCAGCTTGTTATGCCTTCAGAAATGGTCAATTTGTCTTTTTTTGGTGGCTGGCCAGTTTGGGGATCCAAACCCTTGACTTTGGTGTTATAATGCAGTACTTTAACTAAGTGAACTAACCAGCCAGCCCCTAAAATGGTAAATTTTTAAAGAAAACAAGCAAATTCAAGGCCAAGAAACAGATCTGTGTGTGTGGTTTTAGGTTCAGTACCATGGAAATAATCAGGAGTGAGAACTTGAGATGACATTAAGATTGGGCATTCTTTTTTCTGTTCATAGCATTTCATGTTAAGCAGGCTGCAGTTGATTCTCATCTGGGTAAACGTCCCACTGCACCATGTGCACCTCATACATGTGGCAGCACCCAGATTGAGTGATTTTTTTTTTTTTCCTTTTTGTCTTTTTTCGTGTCCAGCAACGGACCGCAACCCTCAGTGTCGCGCCCATACCGGACTGGGACCGGCAACGGGATCGCAACCCTTGGTGCTGCGCCCGCCCCTCGCTCAGCCAGTGAGCGGGAACCGGTCTGTATGTGGGATCCGAACCCTCGGCGGGAGCGCCGCCGTGCTCCCAAGCAGCGCACTGTAGCAGTGCGCCACCGGGCCGGCCCAGATTGAGTGATTTTGAACAAGCTGGTAGCCTGCAGTTGTGTGGAAGGGCTCAGATAGTCAAGGGTGGTGGCCCAGTGAATGCACCATGCTTGGCTTGCAGCCCTCTCTGCTCTTCCAAACAACCGAGGCCCCTCCCGCCTCCCAGTCCTGCAGGTTCAGCCTGGTGCTGAAGGGCTGTCTGCAGGAGGAGGTGCTGATGCTGACTGGACTGCTTTTAGAGAGATGCCCCTTTTTTTCCTTTAGTACAGAAAGGCCTAGTCTCTATTCAGGGTTGAGGTCGTCAGGGTCATAAAGCAGAAAGATGACAGTAATGGCCTCATAAGAAAAGCTCTCACCTGGCTGGGAATGGAGTCACCCCTGAGATTTCTGACATTTTCCAAGTCAGAGGGTAGCACAGATGTGATGGGATGATAGAATACAGGTGCCAAATGCCTCTAGGCAAAAATCCCAGTTTTACTGGTTAGTCTCTAATGAGGTGTTCCATCTGTCACTTTGTCATACTTGCCACCACCGGTTTGCTTCTAGAGTGAAGTCTAAAGAAAGTGGGAAGGAGAAGACTCTTAAAAATGCCCTGAGAGAATTCCAGAATACTCTCCGAGTCACCTGGTGAGGGTGATGCAGTTACTTGCTGAGCTTAACCACAGACTAGGTTATCATGGATGACTTGGCAGCAGGGGTGTCAGGAGTCAGGGTGGGACCTGGTGTCTGGCCACGTCCCTGAGTTCTGCCAGTTCTTTCTTTCTTTTTCTTTCTTTCCTTCCTTCCTTCCTTCCTTCCTTCCTTCCTTCCTTCCTTCCTTCCTTCCTTCCTTCCTTCCTTCCTTCCTTCCTTCCTTCCTTCCTTCCTTCCTTCCTTCCTTCCTTCCTTCCTTCCTTCCTTCCTTCCTTCCTTTTCTTCCTTCCTTTTCTTCCTTCCTTTTCTTCCTTCCTTTTCTTCCTTTCTTTTTTTTCTTTCTTTCTTTCTTTTCTTTTCTTTCCGTGGCTGGCAGATACGGGGATCCGAATCTGTGACCTTGGTGTTATAAAGCTGTGCTCTAATGAACTGAGCTAGCTGGCCAGCCCCTATTTCTTAATCCCACTCTCAAAACAGTCCTGGCCATGCAACTCCTGGGTGTTTTCTTTCCCTTTGATGCGTTTGTACAAGGAAACAGCTGCAGTGTCCGTCAATTGGAGGTGTGGTCAATAAATCTGGAATCTATCATGGAATTCCAGGCTGCAGTTAAAAAGGAGGAGGCAGGTTTCTTTATGGTGCCGTGGAATAAAGTAGCTTATTAAGGAGGGAAAAAGCAAGGTAAGGAACAGCGTTGCTGTATGATCCATTTGTGTAAAACTACATGTATGTTATAGATGCTTATAAATGTTCTGGAAAGATATGTGCCCAAGTAATGAATAGTGGTTGTCTCTGGAGAGTGAAGTGGTGGGGAGGGGGGAGAAATTTTTGGTTTTCATTTTATTTCCTTTCGTATATTTGAATTTTTGTTTTTAGCAATGCACGTTATTTTTATGACTTAAAAAAGTTGCTTAAGAGATTAACAATTCAGCATTCCCTTAGTAATATGGCCTGGTATCTGGTTCCATTGTGGTGAGAAGATTCTAGGTTACCATTGTCTATCTCTCCTCACATTGTGTGGGAAGTAAGCAAATACCTGAGACAGAGGATCCTTTTCCTGCCACTTCCTCCTAGGGGAAGCTCAGGTTTGTCCCTGACTTTTCTTTTTCTTTTTTTTTTTTTTTCCTTTTTGTCTTTTTTTGTGACCGGCAATGGATCGCAACCCTCAGTGTCGCGCCCGTACCGGACTGGGACCGGCAATGGGATCGCAACCCTCAGTGTTGCTCCCGTGCCATGCTCAGCCACTGAGCAGCCGGTCTGCACGTGGGACCCGAACCCTCGGCGGGAGCGCCGCCACACTTCCCAAGCGGCACACTGTAGCAGTGTGCCACCGGGCCGGCCCTTGTCCCTGACTTTTCTGAAGCTGTTTCTTCATTTGTAGGGTGGACTGGTTGAGCCTGCTTCACCTCCCTCATGTACTGTTTATGTTGGAGGGTTCTTTAAAAATAGGAAAGCACAAATTTCAGTCTAGGTATTAAAAAATTGTAATTTTAAGGATTTTTTCTTTTTTGTGAAGAAGTAATTTGGGCCGGGTATATTAGTTTCCTAGAGCTGCTGTAACAACATAACAGTACGTATGTACCACATACTGGGGACTTAGAGCAACAGAAATTTAATTTTTCACAGTTCTAGAGGCCAGAAGCCTGAAATCAAGGTGTTGGCTCTCTCTCAAGGCTGCAGGGAGGACCCTTCTTGCCTCTTCCAGCTCCTGGTGGCGGCCAGCAGTCCGTGGTGTTACTTGGCTTCTGCATGCTCACTCCAATCTCTGTCTTCACGTGGACTTCTCTCATGTGTCTGTACAAATTTCTCTCCTTACAAGGACACTAGTGTTTGGATTAGGGCCCATTCTAATCCAGTGTGGCCTCATCTTAACTAATTACATCTGCAAAGAACCTATTTCTATGTAAGGTCCCATTCTCCGTTATTGGGGGTTAGGATGTGGACTTATCTTTTGGAGGCAACCCACATCAGGGGAGTTTCTACCCTTCCTGTGAAAGACGTGTTTGGAGGGCTGGTTGGTTAGCTCAGTTGGGTAGAGTGTGGTGCTGAGAACACCAAGGTCCAGGGTTCCATCCCTGTACTGGCCAGCCACCAAAAAAAAGAAAAAGTGTTCGTAATTGCCACTTTTAGTAATTTGATGACATAAAATCTAAACTTATGAACTTGTTTATGAAAACAGAATTTTAGACCAAGTTTTAGAACAACACTGTAGTCTGAAAAACTCCAAAGTTAATTAGTTCAAAAGCCTACGCTCCGGGCCGGCCCGTGGCTCACTCGGGAGAGTGCGGTGCTGATAACACCAAGGCCCCGGGTTCGGATCCCATATAGGGATGGCCGGTTCGCTCACTGGCTGAGCGTGGTGCTGACAACACCAAGTCAAGGGTTGAGATCCCCTTACCGGTCATCTTTTAAAAAAAAAAAAAAAAAAGCCTACGCTCCAAATTAGTGCATTTGTTACCTACAGATGGAGTGTCCATGCTGGATTTTCTTTTGCTTTGTGAACATTTGCTTTTAATATTGCTTCTTCTTCTTCTTCTTTTTTTTTTTTTTTAATTTGTGGCTGGCTGGTATGGGGATCCGAACCCTTGACCTTGGTGTTATAACACTGTTCTAACCAACTGAGTAACTGGCCAGCCCCTTGACATTGCTTCTTTTAATCAAACGAACTGTGCTTTTAAATCTTCCACTTAGGAAATTGAGAGACTTACTGAGCGACTAGAGGAAAAAGAGAGGGAGCTGCAGCAGCTGGTGAGCCAGCCGCAGTATGAGCGAGAGAAAGAAGTCGTCCTGCTACGGAGGAGCGTGGCCGAGAAGGAACGGGCCCGCGCTGCCAGTGATGTTCTGTGCCGCTCCTTGGCTGATGAGACCCACCAGCTGCGGAGGACACTGGCCGCCACTGCTCACATGTGCCAGCATCTGGCCAAGTGTCTGGATGAACAACAGAGCACACAGGGGACTACGGGGGAGAAAAGTCTTGATGAGGTAGGCCATGGTGTAACCAAATCATGGTGGAGACCCCGGTGTGGCAGGAGGCATGGCCTGCAGACCTCCCTTAATAATCATGGAGGTCGGGGGGTGCACCAGAACCCACTTCTGTTCTCAGTTACAAGAGTTAGCTGATGGGGCAAAGCTTGCCTACCCACGGGTTTCTCTTAGAATGATGGATCACGCGAAATGTGCTAGGAAAGCAGGGTGGCCTGCCTCACTGGCTCCAGCACTCAGCCTGTAGCTAACTCTGCACCTAGGTGGGGAGATGACACTTTTGTCTCATCTGCTTCATCTGAGGATGAGGGGGAAGCACTGGGCATGGAGGGGCTGCCCTGAGGAAGTCCTGTTGCATGTTGGGCAGATGAGGAAACAATACTGCTGGGGGAGGTGGTGTCTACAGATGCCACATGTGCAGGGGCCAGGCCCACAGCCACTGGAAGGATCATGAGTGCCACCCTTCTGCAGGCTCCATACATCTGAAGGGATAAGGGCTGGCCCAGTTGTGGGCCCTGTTCAGAGCCTAAACTGTCATCTCCAAAGCTGGCTTTTGGGCATGTCCTTGCCAGCAGCATGTCCTGCCACAAGCCAGTAGACCTGGCTGTCCTCAGGTCTGCAGCCTCCTTGTTGTCGAAGCAAGGGCAGAGAGCTGCTGTGTGTCTTATCACTGCAACCCCCAGCTGGGCACTGTGGGGTGGGGTGGCAGCAGGCAGAGAGCAGGGGCCAGGGGACATTGGGGCCAGGTGGCAGTGGGGGCCTGAGAAAGGGCTCATTGGGCCTTCAGGACAGGCTGGATCTGAGCTGTGGCTTTGTGAAAGAACTGGTGGGAAAAAGATGGACGGTGAGGATTTTAGCATCAGCAATCACATAGGGTGGTCATGGGAGGATGGGATGCACCCAGGACTGGGGGTAGGGGGTCATCTTCCTCCTGCTGGTGATCTGATCACCATGTGGTGATCTGTGTGGGGCAGACAGGGAAACGAGGCACATGGTTCACACCTCACCCTGGTTATGTGGTGGGTCATGCTGAGGCTGCATTTCACCCACACTGCCTGGCACAGGGCCTTTCGCTTGGGTCCTTTCTAGGCAGTTCTCCATGGCTGCAATAAGTTTAAGGATGAAACATGCACTCTGAGATGTTCTGGGGCAGGCAGGACATCCAGCTTCTAACGACAGTTTCACTGAAGTGCTCGTTGGGGAGAATATAGATCTGAGAACCACCCTTCTCAGTTGGGTGGATTCTGTGAAAAGGGAACCTCAGAAAGAACACACTGTGTTTCAGAAACCAAAAGAAAAGTGACATCTGGGAGGGGGAGGGGTGTCCTTGTGTGATTTTGAGTCATTGTGTCATTTCCCTCTGGGAATTTGGAAGTAGCCACACACAATGGTCAGCCTGAGGTGCGGGTGGGGCCAATGGTGGGGGAGCAGGTGCCTCATTACAGCCCCTAAATCCGAGTCACTTCTCACCTAAGTCATTCAGGGCTTCTGGTTTAGTCTGGGTTAGGACATTCACTTCCTTTGTCATTCGAGGGAAATTTTCAGAAATGATGTCACTGATACACAGCCCCCTGCACTGTTCGATGCATAGAATTTCTAGGGTATAAAAGGATGTTTCATGGGACTTTTTGGTTTGGTCTGCCAACTTTTGTTTGGGGTGGTTTGGGATGTGGCTTCTGTGACTGAATTCTTCGACCCTGCTGCATGAGGCACAGGTTAGACTGCCACATCCAGAATTGCCACAGTTGAGCAGATTATCTACAGAAAGGACGATGTCGTGGGCTCTGGAGGAGGTAAGCCCGGCCCATGGCCAGGCCCACCTGAGGCAGTTGGAAGGTCCCCTGGCTGGGGGTTCTCTAGTGCACAAGGGTTTAAGCTTCTGCACTCCCTACTGCCTGTGATAATGGCAAATTTCGGTGATAAGATTTTTTTGGATCTGGTGTGCTGATCCCTTTAGACTTTATGGCTTTAGAGGCTTAAATCTGGAATATCTGAAAGACAAACAGCTCAAACTGGTAGGTAGGATGGGAGAAGAAATGTCAAGGATGATGTGGTCTGGAGACCACTGCCCAGGCTGTGGCCAGGCCCCGATGGAGGGTGGGCCTAGGCAGGGTGAGGGTGGTCTTTTCTCCCTTCACCGCTGGGATTGGCGAGTCCTTTTCTGTTTCTGCTTTGTTTCTCCATCAAATGAACAGTCACCACCTGCTTGTTGCAGGAAGCCGTGACAATCTGTGGCCTCAGCCTCTAGATCTAGCTCTCTCTCTTCTTGCTGTACATGACAGTCATGTGTAATGACACAGTATCCTTTCTCTGTTTCTTCCTTGTGCAGCCAGAGCATACAGGCAGGGACACCTCTGTCCAGGTTGCTATTGAGAAGTTGCAGGAAGAAAATCGACTGTTAAAACAGAAGGTGACTCATGTGAGTGTCTCTAACATTTCATTCGAGAAGAACATTCGTGATTCTTTTCTCAGCCAATGCACAGAGGTTGCTCCTGCCCTCTGGCCACTTTGGTTTGATACACAGTCCCCAGAGACCCATCCTTTTTGCCTAAGAGGATGCACAGGACATGTCCTGTTTTTCTCCGTCCCCTCAAAATTAATCCCTAAATCGATAAGGGAAAACAGGAATTATTCTCAGGATGTACAGTTTTTTGTTTTTTTTTTTTCCTTTTTGTCTTTTTTCTTGTCCGGCAACGGATTGCAACCCTCAGTGTTGCGCCCGCACCTCGCTCAGCCAGTGAGCGGCTGGTCTGTACGTGGGATCCGAACCCTCGGCGGGAACGCCACCGCGCTCACAAGCAGCGCACTGTAGCAGTGCGCCACCGGGCCAGCCCGATGTACAGTTTTTAAGTTAGGAAAATTACACTAAGTCCACTTCTGTTTAAGATCATTGCTAGTGGGTGTCATCATGGTATCTCAGGATTCTCTGGTGGGCTCAGTGTCCCCTCTGCACACAACAGAGGGAGGCAACTTCCATTTAAGAGGAAAATCTCACTCCGTGAATTATTGCTGATAAATAGCTTCATGGTTGGGCATTGGCTTGAGCAGCTGTCTAAGCCTCCCGTGCCGGGAGCTTTCCGGCCCCGCCTCCTCAGGTGGAAGACCTCAACGCCAAGTGGCAGCGCTACGACGCTGGCCGGGACGAGTACGTGAGGGGGCTCCATGCGAAGCTGACGGGCCTGCAGGCCACCCATGAGCCTGAGCTGATGAGGAAGGAAATCTCCCGGCTCAACAGACAGTTGGAGGAGAAAATAAATGACCATGCAGAAGTGAAGCGGGAGCTGGCAGCCACCAGGATAGCCCAGGATGCCGCGCTGGAGCGGGTGCAGATGCTGGAGCAACAGGTGTGTTCCTTGGACTCTTTTTTTGGTGGCTGGTCAGTACGGGGATCTGAACCCTTCACCTTGGTGTTACCAGCGCCATGCTCTCCCAAGCAAGCCCCCGCCTCAGGCTCTTGGCAGCACTAATTGGACGTCTTCTTGCAGGCGGTGGCTGTGGTCCCCAGACAGGCTGGGCCGAGGGCTTATTGACGTTCAGCAAGCAGTGCTCATGGGGTGGGTGGGACTTTCAGCTGAGTGGGGACTTTCTCCTTCCTTGAACAGAAATGAGTGTCTTGTCTCTTTTCAGATTCTTGTTTACAAGGATGACTTCACGTCAGAAAGAGCAGATAGGGAACGGGCTCAAAGTAGGATTCAAGAACTGGAGGAAAGGGTCACTTCCTTGCTGCACCAAATGTCCTGGAGACAGGTAGAGTACAAGGGCATTTCTCCTCTTGCTTAGGCTTAGTGTTTTTGTTTTAGTTTTCATGAGTTTTGAGTGTTTCTGTGTCTGCCAAGATGCTGATTTGCTGGCGGTGAGGGTTGTAATGGGCCCTCCCAGCTCTGGGCAGAGCTACCCTGTCTAGTGCCTGGGTTGTGGTGATGGAAAACCTCCCTGTTGTACTTTGTTTAGTTGTTGGGGAGGTTGTCCTGTGTTAGCAGAGGTGGCTGTCCTACCTCCCAGTGCGTCACTGTCACGTGACCAGAGAGCATGTTCTGGGCCCCAGGTTCCCTACTGGGGAGCTCCATACATGTCTGATCCTCGCTGTGAGGCAGGGACCCCGGTTACCCTGTTACACAGAAGTAACACAGGCCTCAGGTGTCCAGCAACATCCCTTAGCCCAGCCCGTGCACATGGGTCAAGGCCTTGTAGGCTGGTGAGCCCTGCACCCTCCTCTGGGCCCACCCTCGGGAGTGCCTTAAGGTAGGCCTGGTGTGAGTTGGACCTGATGAAATTTCTCACCATGTGACCTGTGCTACCCATGTGCTTCTTGTCCTCTCCTCCACTGATAGACTTGTGCTCTGCAAAAATCCCAGGAGAGGTTTGTTTCTTTAGCCAGTTAGTGAGTACCTAATACATCTTTAGCCATGGGATAATCCGTGGGCCCCTCAAAGCACTTCTTTTCCTGACATGGACTGGATAGTAGTGGTGCCTCTGGGAATAGATGCATACACAGGGCTGGAGCAGGGGTTCTGAGCTGACCTTGGAGCTGCCCTTCACAGCAGGGTGTGAGCAGGGACCTAGGGGCTGTGGGGCCCACCCACACTGCCCTGTCCTGAGCATCTGCTGGGCCTTGTTGGTGGCTTCTGTTTCCCATCCCCTGCACGAGGGGCATGGATGAGTCATGGTGGACACTCTTTCTTCTATACTCTTGGACTAAGTCCACAGCAGGGGTCTGGACACAGGCAGCCGTTTTTACTTCTAAATGAAGCGGGGGATCCTGGTGAGGGCCTATGTCCCCTCAAGTCTACTGGCTGACAAGGAGGTGCCAGAAGGCTTTATTGTCCACAGCAGGCCCTGCCCAGAGCCCTTGCCCAGCCCCAGCAGCCTTCTTGGCATCACATAATGGAGTATGTGGGGGGTTGGGAAACAAATTCCTGGTTCTCATAAGGCCCCAGGACTGCAGGCCTAGGACGGATGTCCTCTCGCATGTCCCTCAGCAGGAGCAGGAGCATCTTCCAACATGGATGTGTGTGGGATTTCCTGAGCTTTGTTTTTGCTTATGGATTTTCCTGGGATTTGGTTTTGAATTTGGGTTTTCTGTCCTCCGTGAATGGGAGGAAGCACTGATTGGGACTGAAGGGGTCACAGTTGTATAATCGTGAGGATGGTGTCAGGTGGCCTCCAAGCACACTGGGGCCAGAGATCGACTGGAACTAGTTCCAGTCCTGCAGGCTGGAATTTGCCAAGGAATTCCTACTTAGCCTTAATGGCAGTATTCCTGGTGGGGACTGAGGCCTTTGCAGTTAAGTGGCCACTGTAGCCCGTGGCCCCTTGAGCATTCGGAGCACTGGCTGTTGCTCAGACCCTGGGTGGCACACCTGGGGACAGTGGTGCTGACGGTGTGAGTGATACCCTGCAGTCCCACTGACGAACATTCAAATTCAGATGCCAAGTGGACGCATCAAGGCTTACTGGAATGAAGTTTCCAAACAGGTAGTGATGTGCACTGTAGGCTGCAGTGCTTCGTGACGGATGTTGGGAGCACATGTGCCAAGTGGTGCCAGTCTGTACTCATTGGATAGTGAGGCCAAGCCAGGGACACCCCCTGCTGCCACTGGAGGCCTCCCTGAGGCCCAGAGTGTTCAGCCCAGAGGAGGTGCAGGGTGGGGTTGGGACTCAGTTTGACTGGCTCCCCACCCTGAACTCTGCCACCCCTACTCCATGGTGGCACATGGGGTATGTCATCGGGGCCAGCTTCTCGGTCAGGTTTCCTGTGGCTGACAGGTCCAGTTAGGCCTTCTGCCTAACTAACGGGGTGGAGAGTGGATCCCACTCGGGCCTGCTCCTTCAAGAGTATATGAGGGAGCTTGTGTGTGCTCTCTTTAGGCACTCGCTGAGCATCTCCTTGTCTGGATTCTGGGTATAGCAGGAAGCAAGCTGAGGGATTCAAGTTTCACTCAGGGACAGACAGAGTAACTTTGGTTGCTAGAACCTGAGACCTGGCTTTGCAACCTTCAGGACAGCTTGTATAAACACACCCTTGCCTTTTCTCCAGGACTCCCGAGAGCCAGGCCCCTGCAGGATTCATACTGGGAGCAAAACCACCAAGTACTTAGAGACTGATGCATTGGAGCTTGCGGTGCCTGATGGCTGGAGGCCTGGACCTGGGTCTCAGCGGCTGGAATCCCCTTCGGAGAGCAGGCACTTCAGCACAGCCCAGGGAGGCCAGGGCGACCTTCAGTGCCCTCACTGCCTGCGGTGCTTTGGTGACGAGCAGGGCGAAGAGTTCCTCAGGCATGTGGCTGAGTGCTGCCAGTGAGCTGGGACTTGCTTGTGCTCAAACGCAAGGAGTTGAGCTCTACTGAGATCTAGTGCCCCCAGAATGGGGTTGGGGCACTCTGATTATTCACCCCTTTGGCCATGGAACAGACTAGGTCAGAGGGAACTGCCGGTGGGGTTGGGAGCATTTGACTGGAGGAGGCCACAGTCCCGCCTCTCATGGAATTTGGGCTCCCAGATTGTCAGGCCGAAACTGTGAGCAATCAGGTGCAGAAATACTTACAGGCCAGCATGCTAGCCCTACCCCAGCCTGCATCTGGGGATGCTGCAGCTTGCCAGAAGGAGATGGCTGCTTGTGGGAGCCATGTGTGTGTTTCCCAGGGTGGAAGCTGCATCCTGTTCTGCGGAGTAAGGTGTCCCCCTGCTCCTGGGACTGGAAGGTTTGTAGAACAAAGCATTGCAGCTGCACATCACACCAGGGGGATGCCCCAACCACGGCAGAGCCACACATCTGCACTGAAAATTGTTGCACTGCAATGGCATTGTCATGTGTCTAGAAGTTAAAGCACATTTATTTCCTGCTCACTTATTTTTATAATAAATGTGCTTGCTACTATGACTACTCTGAGAATTTGTGTTGGGAGCTGAGGTGCAGAGACAGCTGCATTTTCAGTATGTGCAGGAGTTAGGCCACTTGGTGAGGAAAAACACTCCTGCTGTTTGCCACCTGCCAGGGACTGAGATGAGGGGATTGGTGGGAGTCCAGCTGGCCCTGCCTGTTGGGCACTGTGTGGGCAGAAGGCTGCCTGAGGACATGCAGGGAGGAAGTCTTCCATTTTAACCTTTTTGCTTTAGCAACCCCACACAGTCATGTGAATACTGAACTCCTGACCTTTTCTCCAGGCTACACAGAGAAATTCCTGGAGCAAATGTGGACTGAAGTTTAGTTGTAAGTGAGGTCCTGATGTCTGAGGGAATCAAGTCACTGGGGAGAGGCCACCCTTTGACAGGAGCAAGGCATTGAGTTTGGAACTTCATTAGTGCCCACATTCTCCCAAGTGCTGGGCTGTTGCAGGATTCAGGCAGAAGCCATCAGGGCAGAGATGGAGCTATGAGCCACTCAGAGGTGACCAGGCACCAGCTCAGTGCTCTGCTGTCTGCCTGTTTCAGCCCTGCCCAGGACATGAAGAAAAGGGAATGAGGTAGGAAGAAGTAGGCACTTGCCTAGAGCATGTTAGAACTCTGCAAAGCAAGGGCTGCCTGACAGTGCACGTCAGTGGGTCAGCATGATAGAAGTGACGGGTCAGTAAGTGAGCTGTGCACTGATTACAGGAAGACTGTAGGAGCTGTGCAAAGTGTCTGCCGTGTATTAACTCATTTAATCCCTATAACGATTCTAGGAGGTAAGCATTACTTGTCCCCAGCACAGGTGAGGATGAGGCATAGAGGGGTTAAGTCACTTGCAAAGGTCTCAAGAAGCTGAGTGACAGAGCTGGGATTCCAGCCCAGGCTCTCTGGCTCCTGAGCCCATGTTCTGTATTGCACAGTCTGTTCCTCTCCATGTGTAGTAGCTGCCATAATCAATAAGAAGGGTGCCTCTGGGTCTTTGCAAACACTCTCCCTCTTGCCTGGAACACCCTCTCACCTTTTCAATTTGGCTAAGTCCTCAAGTTGTAGTTCAGGTGTCACCTCTTCCTTTTTTTGGCAGCTAGCCAGTAAAGGGATTGGAACCTTTGACCTTGGTGTTATCAGCGAAATGTTCTCCCGAGTGAGCTAACCGGTTGCCCCCTCACCCCCATCATCTCTTTTGTGTGATCCCCCAGATACCCTTCTTCCTGGGAACCCGACTGGAAGAGATCTAGTCTGTGTGGCATGGGATGGATAAAACTCTAGGAGAAAGCCTCAGTCTTACTGACCTGAGCAGTTGGAGGAGTTTGAGGCCTCCTGAGCACTGTAAATAAAGGATGGAGGATGTCCCAGAAAGAGGGTAGCCACAGGATGGGAACACCCGAATTCTTGGCTGACCCCTGAACTGTGTATGCTTAGGGTGAGACTTTGAGAATTCCGGGGAGTGAACAACACCTGGAAAGCAGGAAGAACTGAGCAGAGATTTCAGCAACTGTCTATTATATGGAGACAGAGTTTGGAATTGAGTCCCTCAAGGTTAGAGGGTTTTGGCAAACACCTTGGTTTTTCCTTTGAAACCCTAGAAGGGCCACACCTTAGGAGTAAAGTTGATGTCCTAAGACAAAAATCAAAAGAGCTGTGCTCTGAAAAAGCATAAAAGTTCCAGGTAACCAACCAGTGATCTAGTTCTTGTTAGAACAAAGCCCAGCATTCTTCTGATAAAGACAACAGAATCCTGGGACCTTATAACTGTATTAACCACAAGTTCAGTATATAATAAAAAATACTAGCCATGTGAAAACAATGGCAGAATAAAGATATTTTCAGATGAACACAGCTAATAAAATTTATATCTAGCAGACCACACTACAAGAAATACCTGTACTACAGACATTATTCAGGCTAAAGGAAAATGATTCTGGGTAGAAGAGCAGAAATATAGGCAGGAATGAAGAGCATGGGAATGGTTAAATACGAATGAACATTGACTGTTTAAAACAACAGTAATATCTTGGTGGTTTTAGAACGTATTCAGACTATGACCATAAGAGGTCATTAGTGGGAGAGGGAGAGTATGATGGGGTTGCACAATTATAAGGTTTTTGCATTGATTTAAGGTGGGCTGTAATGAATTAAGGAGCATATTGTAATCTCTAGAGTAACCACTAAAATAGTAATAAGACATTTAATTAAAAAGCTAATAGAACAGAAAAGTAGAATAACTTTTTTTTTTAATTTAAAAGGTGACCAGTAAGGAGATCTTAACCCTTGACTTGGTGTTGTCAGCACCACGCTCCCAAGTGAGCCACTGGCCGGCCCTCAAAATAGAATAACTTTTGATTAAAACATGTTAGGAGAAGTAAAGGAATAAAAAAGAGATGAGACAAATCAAAAATAGATGGCTAGAACTGGCTGGTTAGCTCAGTTGGTTAGAGTGTGGTGCTGACAGCCCCAGGTCCGGGGTGTACCAGCCAGCCAAAAAAAAAAGAAAATAGATGGCAAGATGGTAGATGTAAACCCACCTATATCAGTAATGACATTGAAAATAAGTGGACCAAACATTCCAATTGAAAGACAAAGATTGTCACACTAGATGGACAAAAAAGTCCTACCTGTATGCTCATTAGAAAACATGCACTTTAAATGTAAGAACACAGTATGGAAAGAATGGAAAAATGCCAACACTAACCAAAAAATATGAGTGGCCACATGATTATCAGACAGTGCACAGTTTAGACAAAAAAATACTAGAAGTAGAGACACTGCATATCAATAAAAGGGTAAATTTATTAGGAATATATAATCCTAAATTTATATTGGGCTAATAACAAAGCTTAGAAATATATAAAACAAGGAGAACTAGACAAATGACAGTCATAGCTGGAGATTTTTAACATACATCTTTCAGTAACTGGTAGAGAACAAGCAGGGGAAAAAGGAAGGATATAGAAGAGTTAAACAAAATAATTAACCAACTTGACCTAATGTATATATGTAGAACATTACACCAAACAACAGTGAACTATATATTCTTTTCAGATGTACATGGAACACTTAAAAAAGACAAATTTCTGGGCCATAAAGTAAGTCACAACATGTCCCAAAGAATTTGTGTTCTTTGATCACAGTGAAATTAAACCAGAAATCAACAACAGAAAGATAACCATCAAATTTCCAAGTGTTGAAAAATTAAACAATACACTTAAAAAAAAAGAAAAGATGACCGGTAAGGGGATCTCAACCCTTGTCTTAGTGTTGTCAGCACCACGCTCAGCCAGTGAGCCACAGGCCGGCCCTTAAGCAATACACTTCTAAGTGATCCATGGGCAAAGAAAAAGTCATGATGAAAGTTAGAAATTATTTTGAACTGAATGAAAATATAATTTACAAACAGTTATGGAATGCAGCTAAAGCAGTGATTAGGGGAAGTTTTATAGCTCGAAATGCATGTATTAGAAATGAAGAAAGGTTAAAATTCAGTGGTGTGAGTGTCCATCTCAAGGAAGTGTGAAAGGAACTTCAAATTAAACCCAGACAAAATGGAAGGACATAATAAAAGAGCAGAAATTGATGAAATTGAAAGAAGAAGATCAACAATACCAAGAGTTTTAAATAGTAACAAAACTGGTAAGCCCGTACCATGACTGATAGGAAAAAAAAGAAAACACAGGTTGCTAATATAAATGAAACGGAGAATGTCACTGTAGATCTTTCAGATGTTAAAATGTAAGAGGACACGACGGACAACTTTAAACTAATAAATTGACAGCTTAGAAGAAATGGATAAAATCCTTAAAAAACACATCTTACTAAAACTGTTGCAAGAAGCAACAAAAAACCTGAATAGCTCTATAGCCATTAAATAAATTGAATAATTAAAAATACTTTCGCAAAATGGTAGGCCTACATGACTTTGCTGGTGAATTCTTCCAGACATGTAAGAAAGATATAATACCAATCTTACGTGCACTAAGAAAAGAGAGGGGGGCCGGCCCGGTGGCGCACTGCTAGGGTTCGGATCCCACATACAGACCGGCCGCTCACTGGCTGAGCGAGGGGCGGGAGCGACACCGAGGGTTGCGATCCCATTGCCGGTCTCGGTCCGGTACGGGCGCGACACTGAGAGTTGCGATCCGTTGCCGGTCACGAAAAAAGACAAAAAAAAAAGAAAAGAAAAGAAAAGAGAGGGAATGTTTCCTCAACTCGTTTTATGACACCCAAACCTGAACAAACCAAACATCCTGAACAAAATATTAACAAATTGAATTCAGCAATATAAAAAAAAAAGTCATAACTAAGTGGGACTTTTATCACGGGAATACAAGATTGGTTGACATTTTTTACCAATAAATGTAATTCACCATAGTAATAGAGTAACAGAAAAACCAAATTATCATTTCGATAGGTAGACAAAGCTCATAACAAAAGTCAATACCCATTCATGATGAAAGCTCTAAGCAAACCAGGAATAGAAGGAATTTTCAATCTGATAAAAGTGTATGTCCAGAAAACCTACAAGTAAAATTATACTCGATGAAATATTGAATGCTGTCCCTGTGCAGGTTCAGATCAAGTCAAGAGCGTTTATTCTTACCACTGCAATTCACATTGTATAGGAGGTCCTACCCAGTACAATAAGGCAATAAAAATTATAAAAGATAAAAAGATTGGGAAAGGAGAAATAAAACTGTCCCTATTAACAGATGACCTGATTGTTTATGCAGAAAATCGTAGGGAATAAAAAAAAAGCTTAGAACTAATAAGCCAATTTGACAATTTCAGGATACAAAGTCAATATATGAAGTATCTATTGTATTCCTATATATTTGTAACAATAAGAAAAGGAAAAACTTAATCTGTTGTGGGTTGAATTGAATCTCCCCCAAATATAAGTTGACCAAAAAGATATGTTGAGGGCCGGCCCGGTGGCGCACTGCTACAGTGCGCCACTTGGGAGCACGGCGGAGCTCCCGCCGAGGGTTCGGATCCCAC